ACGTGGCGCCGCCCCAGCCTGCCCCGGGCCGCTCGCTCCGGCACGTGGGCGCGGCGTGCACCCGGCGCAGCTGCGCGCCTCGTGGACGCTCTGTCCCCTTCCCCCTCTCCGCCCCGTGGCCTGTTTTCGTTCTGCTGGCCGGGGTTCCCCCCCCCCCCTCAGGTCTGGGAGCGCGGCGCGCTTCCAGCGCGCCAGAGGAAATAGGTCGGCAGGTGGCTGAGCGATCCGGTCGGGCGGGGCTGGGACGCTGGTGCACGCAGCGGAGGGGGAAGGGCATACGGGGACACGTTAAAAGAAAGTCAGAACGCGGGAGGTTGCTAAAGAGCACGCAGTGTTTTTATCTTTGGGGAGTACATAGTTCTAAGTGCCCGACGCTGCTTTTCCCCGCTCTCAGCATCGTGGACGTGATGTTCTGTGCAACCTCAGTAAACAGCCGGCACAGGTGCTGCGCGATGACGCCTTACTGAGGGCCACAGTGGTCCCGGGACACAGCAGCCACCTCCTGGGTGCAAGCTGTCTCAGCCCCTGGTTTGGGGCCCAGGCTCTGACCCCAAGCTGGGGGCACGCTCCCCTCCCCACTGGTCCGGGCCCCATGGCCAGAATGAATTGGGACCTTGGCTGTAACGGACTCTTCCTCAGGAGGGCTTGGAGTTAACTTGCAGAGTGACTCAGCTGGTGAAGGGTCAGGAAACCAAGTCCTAGGAGAGGTGCTTGAAGAACTGGGGATGTTTAGCTCAGACCAGACGGGCCCTGAGGGCCTGTGAGCCTGTCTGCAAGTATTTGAAAGACTCATGTGATCAGATTTGACTGGTCTCGTGCTGCCCTAGGGGACAGAACAGAGCTGTTTACAGGAGGTGAATTTCAGGTCAATTACAGAGACAGGGCAGGAACGAATGTTGGGTTCTCCCCGGGAACCAGGTACAGCTAGGTGTTTGCATGTATCAGTAAGAAAATAGCAGAGCCACGATTGGAATTTCGATCTGCTAGGACTGCAAAGCTGCTCTCTGCCTTTCGTGATGCATTTGTTTAATGGAATGGGTTACTTTGGGCGTAGTGCCAAAGAGTTTCTGCATCGCTGGAACCCAGTGGACTGGAGGATTCGTTCAGCTGTGTTTAGCCGTGTCACTGATTCTCTACTTGGGTTGAAGAGGGAGGTTGCCCCGGGCCAGACGAGGATGCCAGAGGGAGGAGGCCACCTATCTCCCAGCAAGTGAAAATTTCCAGCAGGGTACATCTCTTACCCATTGTGCCTGTGAGTGCTCTCCGCCTGGTTAAAGCAATAATCTTGACTTCGAGTTTAACAAATGTGATCACAGTATCCACCTGTCATCCAACGTCCTTACTGCCTCCTAGCCCTTCCTTTTTTCAAATCTGATACCCCTTTCCCTTATGCAGCCCTTCTGCCTAGGCCAGACTAAAAGTGGGACCAGGGCAGTAAGCACCAAGGAGTAGATGAGTAGATGCGCGAGTAACCTGGGCTCATTTCGGCCCTCTAGGCAGTGCCAGGTATGGTGTCTGGAAAGGTCAGGAGGGAAGGACCTGGGCTGCTCGGATTCGAGCTGTGGCCCTCGGGGTCTGATACTGCTGACCTCGAGCCTGTAGGGCAGATGCATGCAGGAGGGAACTTTCTCTGAAGTTCGGGAGTCATTTTGTGAATTAATAGTTTCACAAGAGGTCTTTAGGAATCTCCTTTTGTCTCGTGTGTGCAGGTATTGAATTGTCCAAAACAAACCCATAATAGCATCCCTGGAAGGAAGGTAGGAGTATGGAATGGGTATAAAGAGGCAATATCTGGTTTTTCTTGGCTCTCCAGCAGACCAGGTTACAGTTTCTTATCAAAACCCAGCCAGAAAATACCAAACTGAGCCTTCTTCTCCTGGAGGAATTGGCTGGAAGCAGAGTGGTCTCCTCTCTGCCCTGGACATAATTTTCAGAGATCTAGAAGGTGTGTACCTTCCTTTCAGTAAGTCTCTGGTTATTCCTTCCTAATCTCCTGGGTCTTAACGTGTGTCCTCTGCTTCCGGGGTATTAAGGTCGAGGAGATCTCCCAGGTAGCCAGTCCAGCCCAGCTAAGCAGTGCCTACATATAAGATTAAGATCGAAGCAGTGATGCAGAGAAGGTGAAATATTTGTGTCTGTCTGCCTGCAAGTACTCTCCTGCGTTCTCTCTCCTCTCTCAGATCCTTCCTTAACGATGATTCTTTAAGGGATCGTAGCTCAGTTTTCGTTTCAACTGATCTCAAAGATCTTTAACTCAAGGGATGGCATCCTAATGGTGGGCTTTAAGGCTTAAACTTAGGGAGAGGGTAGGAGCAAAAGTTCAGATGCATTGTTCTTTCCCTGGCCTTTCGCTGTCCCCACCCCCACATTGCCCCCCCCCCCCCCAGCACAGCTCCCTGGTCACCACCACCCTGACCCCGCCATCTTTGTATTCATGAATAAGGGGCAGACATGGAACCCCTCAGGCTCTTGCTGCAGCAGGGAGGGATAGCAAGAATGAGAAGTTGTCTCTGGGCTCTGCACGTCAGACTTCCTGGGCTCAGACGCCAGCCAGGTAGGAGCTGTGTGACCTTGGAGAAGTTCCTTCACCTCTCTGTGCCTCAGTGTCCTCACCTGTCAACGGCGCGGGGTGGTTGTGAGGATTAGGCCCCAACCATGCCTAATGCTGGCATATGCTTGGTGCTCCAGGCGCCGCGGCTGTGTGTTCTTGACCGGAAGGAGTCCTCAGTCTCGCAGTGACCGCTCCGTGGTTGCTGTCAGCACCGCTTCCGTGTGAGCTTAAAAGGGCTGGAGGACTCCAGGATGGGTGGTCGGCACAGCAGGTGCCCCTGCCCCATGTGCTAACTGGTCCTCAAACCAGGCAGTCTGCATGGCCTTGACTCCCACCCAGGACAGCCCTTCCCAAAGTGGTCCTTAGCGGGACACCTCTCCTTCCTGCCCCCACATTTCTCTACTAGGCTGGTCGCCCTCTCATACTCTTGCCACGAGGTAGCTGGTTGGGTGGCCACGTGCCTGGGGAGCAGAACTTTTTCCATTCTTTCTCATTCTTCTACCCGTGGGATTGTGATGGGGTCTCTGGTGGCGACGAGCAGAGCTGGATCTCAATTTTAGAGAATGGAGGAAGAAGGCGGCTCCAAGGTGGGCGGAGTCAGTGCGGTTGGTTAGAAGGGGTAGGAGGCGGGGCGTCAGCAGACCCTGAGCAGAACCGTCTTCCGTCTTCCCCTGCGGCTTTTGATGTTGTCGCTCTTGGGCCTTCGTATCTGTGCCTTAGGCTGCCTTGGAGGTGAACTTGCCCCTGCCGTCTGCTGGCGTGGGGACGCCCGAGGGGCCGGGAGAAACGGGATAGTTTGCTGTAGTCCAGACAAAAGCTTGCTAGTGTGCAGAGCCTTTGAAAATACTCGGGAACAATTTGGTACCCTCTGCGTGTTACGCCGCGGGGTGATATCTCAGCCGCTGAGCTCTTGCGTACGAAATTGGCCACAAGGCTGAGGGAGGTTCAGGGGAGGGTTGGTTATCGTTATTTAATGGATGTGAAGTTCCTCAAGCCCCTCCCAGCGCCTTGGGGAAAGGACGTTGAGCTGTCGATCTTGCTCCCCGGAAAGACTTCCTAGTCTCTATTTGTAGGAACCTTAAATTAGTCACATTTGGGGAATTTTCTTTTTTGCGTTGATTTTCCTGGACTTGTGTTGTGGTGGTTTTGAAGGGTGGGGTTGGGGGTTGTGTGCCCTGGGGGGCCCATCCTCTGGTTCTCTAATGAGGAGGCCATGGTTTTGGTTTCAAGCAGACGAGTCACAGTTACCAGAGCTCCAGAAATGGATGCTTATCCCAGGACTGTGGTGGTGGCATGCCTAGAAGCAATTTAAAAACCACTGTAGCTCTTGACTATCACCTTATCTTGAGCGACTTCTTGGTCGTTTGGTGATCTAGAAATGAGAAAGAACACTAAGTATTTTAACATAAAAAGAGAATCCCCAGAATCTCCCAGATTCTGCCCTGCTCCCCTCGGCCCCTCCTTTATGTTTTTTTCTTAGTCTTCCCGCAAGTGAAGTGCAGGAGATCTCCATTTAAATGGGACTAGAAACTCACAGCCACAAAAACTCCTGGGACTGTTGATGATGCCACATGGGAAGATTAGAACAAAAGTGGGGTGTGGGGGGCATCGCGAGATAGAAGGAGCGTAAGGAGGTGGTGGCCTTGAAGCTGGGTGGGTGCGGGGACAGAGGAGTAAGAACTTTCTGAAAAGAGGTTACTGGTACCAGTTCCATTAATCCAGGAGTCGGGACAGACAGGGCATACCCCATGTCCTTCTGTGGCCCCCAAAAGAGTACTTTTACAGCTCCCTTTTCTGTTTATTTTAGCCCATCCTTTTACACATAGAATTTTGGCTTCAGTTTTGTGATCTATACAGTATAACAGCACAGCAGCACGTGTATATAACTTACAACTAAAAACTGCCTTTTTGAGAGCTAATAGTTTGTGGTCAAAGAAAACCGGGCGGGGAAACAGCCTGTGCTTCTCAAATGTGGACGCGCAGGATGGTTGACGATGTTGCTAACATGCACACTTGGATTCCCTGGTTCTGGGCTGGAGCCCTGCATTCTGCGGTTGGAACTGACCCAGGAGGCATGAGATCGATGTTTTTCTTTCCTCTTTTTGCCGCAGTTTCGCACTTGGCGTCTTAGACGCGCAGGGAAACCCGGCGGCCCCCAGGGGGTCGGGGGCAGATGCTCTGGCTTTTCCTTTCCTGGAACGCCAGGGCCTTGCTCTTGACGCTGCGAGGAAGTCCCGTGCACCGCGGAGCAACTTGCCCGCATCCGTTCCCATAAGGGACGTGTCATTGTCACCTGTCACGTGGTGTCAGTTTGCTTCTTCCAGACACCACCTGGATCCCACTTCACAGAAAGGGAAGGTGCTGGGTGCAGCAGAGAAAAGCTGATGTCTGTGAAGTGTGGAGAACAGGTGCGCTCACCACACAGGCAGCTGTTGCCTCTCGCTGTTCCGTACCTGGCGGACGTCAGTGCCTTCCTTGGCTTTCCTTGCCCTCATTCGTGGCACTGGTGACACGGGTAATACGGCACCTGCTGCTTCTGATGTTAGCCAACATCTGCCGAGCGCATTTCAACACTGCTGCTTTAACGTGGCCGTTCTGCGGGGCCACTCTTCTGTCACCAACTTGCAGGTGAGGAAACGGCCCTGAGTGGCCGAGTCACGTATCTGAGATCACAGGGCTTGTAAGTAGTAAGACAGGGCATACTCCTCCGACTGCGTGCCCAGTGTTCTCTCTGCTTGAACCAAATCTGCCCATGTCCTGGGAGCCAGTGAGAGTCCAGAGGCCTGGGTGTTTGAGGACCTAAGTTCTCATTCGCGCATTCATCGCGCAAGGCCATGTACCTGGTACTCAGCGTTCAGGATTCGGAGATGAACAAAGCAGTCGGTGGCCTGAAGGAGGGGGATGGAGAAGCAAAGATGCATTTACCAGACTGCTGAGTGCCATACCGGGGTCGGGTCACTGCGCGTGGGAGGGTCTGCTGGCCCACGGAAGGGGCGGCAGGGAAGGTTGACTGGCCGAAGGGTCTCTGAGGGGTGACCAAGAGTAGCAAGAGAAAGACGGGGAGGAAGCTGCCAGCAGGGAAATCAGTAAGCCGACAGCAGGAAGTTTTCCTAGATCCGACCCAAATAGAGATGATGGTAATTGATACGTTTGAGACTCAATAAAGATAATCCTCGTGACGTGCTCATTAGTTGCCATGTCTTCTTGCCAGACCAGCTGGTGTCATCACGGTCAAGTGTCCCTCTTGAACCCCACAAAAATTGTTTCTTTTGAAATTGACTTTGCTTACTCCCTTTTCGGTTGATCAGCGTTTGTGTGGTGGGTCTTACTGTTAACTGGCTACATCTTTATGTTTCAAGTGGATTTCTTAGAGTTGGGCTTGCCTTTTCTTTTCACCCAACGTGATTGTGGCTTTGCATTAGCGTTTAGACCATTTACCCTCTGAGCCAAGAGCCAAAAGGAAGCAGATGGGAGGTGAGAAGGGTGGTTCTCCCAGCCTGTTCTGAGCCAGAGGCTGGATGTGGGTTTGGCCTGCTTGCTCTAAAGGTTTCCCCAGTGGGAGACCCCAGAGTCAGCGGCCTTCTGGGTGTGAGAGCTCAGGTTTGGGGGCGCTAGTTTGAGAAAGGAGGGGCCGGTAGACGCAGCCAGTTTAGAAACCACGCTCCCTGCCCTCATGCCCACATCCTGCCTTGGAAAGCATGCAGCTTTTCCCCTCGAATCCCCTTCTGGTCTGAGAAAGCTCAATGGCTTCATGATGACATCTTACGATGGCGAAGAGCTGATCGGTTTGCAAAAGGGGGTTACTTATGTAGGGCACACGAGCTCCGGGTAAATCTGACGGTGCTCTGGGCTGTGGCGCGCAGCCCAGACACGGCCCGGGGAGAGTCCCTTTGAAAACAGGTTTTCTGACTCCTTACCTCAAGCCTACAATGTGACAGCCAGGGTAATGTGACACGTCCTGGAGCAAAAGGGATTGGCCCTGGGTGTGGGAAAGGACCTCCGCCTCCGTGTCTACACCATGCAAAGGAAAGGTCATCCTCCAGGTAAACATCCAGGCGCCCCGTGGATGCACCCTGTCAGGGCTCAGTCATCTTGCAGTCCAGACACTAAGTTCTCAGGTCTCTAGAGAGACCCAGTGGGCAGTGGGCATGGGCTTCTTCTGGGTTAGGAGGGAGCCACAAGAGGTGTGATTTCCAGCACCTTAAGTTGGAGGTCATGAGCGGGGGTCTGCGGACCAGGGACACTGGGAGGGTGATGGGTCCCCTCGCTAGGGGTGGTTTTCCAAGGGCACGGTCGGAGTCTTCAGGGTCACCCTGGTGGACGTGGGGAAAAGGATAGACATGTCCATCGAGGCCCTGAGGACTGGAGCGATGTGCAGGTTGGCCCGAGGCCAGACAACTCGACAGAGAAGGGGGAGCAGAAGTAGGGCCTGCACCTCTGCCTGGCACGCGGGGGCCCCTGTGCCCTGTCCCTCCTGACACAGGGCCTCTCCCACGATCCTGTGTCTTCGCCTGGTAAGCCTCGTTTGGGCTGTTATCCATCGGCCATCACGTGCCACCGCCGTTCGGGTCTTCCCAGAGCCCCTCACTCACGGCCTGGATGCTCCCGGGTTCCCCCCGCCCCCGGACGCCCCCTTCTCTCTCGCCCCCGATCCCCCACCGCAACCCTCCCCTCGCCCGCTTCAGAGCTCACGAACCCCTCCCCTGCCTCGTGGCAGGATCGAGCCTTGTCTGGGCCCGTCCACCCGGCCCTGCCGCACCTGAGAACAGAAGCCGTGCCATCGCTGTCCTCGCTTGGGTCCGCGTCCCCGCGGGCCGGTGGCCCTGGAGAGGCAGAGGTGGCGGTCTTGCTGTGCTCGGGGGCCGGGCCGGGTGGACGGAGAGCTCGCTGAGAAGGCCGCCGGTGTTGCTGGTTGTGTGTGTTTTTCTACGCGAACTGCAGATGGCTGGACACGGGGAAGGGTGTTCAAGCTTGCGGGTGAGAACACACACGGCAGATGCGTGTGCGCCCCAGGAGCCAACAAGACGCCAGCGTTTGCCGCAGCGCGGAGATGGCAGCTGGCGGCCGCGGCCGGGAGGGATGCTAAGGGATGCGCGGGACGGGTAGGAATTAGGAGGAGAAGGGGTTTCTGGAGGAATGCTCGAGAACGGCAGAAACGTACGGGAGGAGGGATTTTGCGGGAAGAAGCAGGTCAGGTGAACAGAGCAGAGTGGAGGTAGGGGTGAGGGGAGAGAGGTTCTCAGGAACTCCTCCCCACTCCCGGGGTGGTGGGGAGCCCTGGAGGAAGCCAGGAGCCCGTGTTGGTTTCTGAGCGGGGGAAGCACAGACGAAGCACTGTTGCAGGAACCCAGGGTGTCCCAGGTGTGGGCGCTGGCGAGGGGTGGGAAGGGCGCGGCCTGTGGTCTGGGCGAGGCTCTGTGGTTTCATCCGGGTGGAGAAGGCAGCGGCACAAACGCTGATGACCAGTGGGAGCACCACACGGAAGATGGGATCGGGGGCTTCTTGGCCGTGGTGACTGGCAGTGCTTGAACCCGTAGGTCGAACGAAAGGAGGAATCGGTGGACCAGGTGGGCCTTTACCCCAAAGCCCGTCCTTTGCCTGCAAACCTCCCGGAGCCTCAGTCTCCCTGTGTGCAAGATAAGAGGATTTGGTCCCTGTGACTCATTCGGGTCTCGAGGTAGACCTGGTCTCAGAGCACATTTCGCTGACCCAGGCCTGTTTCCCAGAAAAGCTGAGACTTCCCTGACCTCTTCCTGTCTGGCCATACAGCCTACTGTGTCAGTACAGCGAAGGGGCCCTGGGGACGGCCGCAGTGCCTGGGGCGGCCATCTGGCCTGAGGTCTTAGGCCCAGTCGTCAGGTCGGTTTGGTCCCTGGAGCCAGGCTTTGCTGACACCGGACCGCAGTGCAAGGACTGAGGCCCGGGCAGGCCTGGGTGAGCCACCGAGCACTTGGCCTTTGTTTCAGGGCCCCTGGGCTGTGAGTGTCCCCTGAGGCCAGAGGGCTGGCGGGGGTGGGGGCGGGCCTGGGGGAGCCAGGGGGTGTCCTCGGCTGCGTGGACACGGCATTCCTCTTCCGCAGCCTTTGCGGATGGTGCCCGGGCGCGTGGTCCTTGTGTCCTCGCGGACCGCTTCCGTTTTGTTTCTTTTCAGTGGGGATGAATTGGCCCCAGCCTCCCTACGCAACACCAGAGCCACCTCTTCTTTGGTTTCCACACAGGAGGCAAAGGTCTCTTTTTAGCAGGGAGAAGTATGAAGCCGCTATTCAGGTGGTGATACGTGACTGACAAATTGTGAAATTTCGTCTCAGTCTTGCGATGTGCCCTCCTCTTTCTTGGCGGTTTTGGGCACTTTTGGGGACAGAATGCTAGGTGTAGCGGTAAAAATCCCAACGTGTCGAGCACTTCGGGTGTGCCCAGATTGTCCCGGGTGCTGGTGTGCATTCATTCACTGGCGCCTTCTGAGGTCTTGTTGCCCTCATCCGACCTTGCAGACGGCACCGTGGGGGTCCGGAGAGGACTCAGCCAGCCCAGAATGACAGCCAGTTACTGCTAGAGCTGGAAAGTGACCCAGGCAGTCTGGCTCCAGAGCCCTTACTCAGGAAAGGGTTTTGTTCCCACATGTATAGATCCACAAAAGTCACCGGGGAGAAAGGAAAAACACAAACCAGGCAGACCAAAAACAGCTTATCATGGAAACAGTTAACACTTAAAAAAAAATTTTTTTTAACGTTTTATTTATTTTTGAGACAGGGAGAGACAGAGCATGAACAGGGGGAGGGTCAGAGAGAGGGAGACACAGAATCTGAAACAGGCTCCAGGCTCTGAGCTGTCAGCACAGAGCCCGACGCGGGGCTCGAACTCATGGACCTAGAGATCATGACCTGAGCCGAAGTCGGCCGCTTAACCGACTGAGCCACCCAGGCGCCCCACGGTTAACATATTTTATGATATTCATAAAAGAAGATACTCCAGTAGCCAGGAAGCAATGAAAAGCCACTCGACCTCCTTAATCATCTAGGAATACGAATCAAAGCGATAGTCAGATCTTACTCTAAACCTGCTTTACACTACTCCATACCAGAACAGAGGAAAAGGAACTCTCATGTGGAGTGAAAATTGATATAATCACTTTGGAAAACCATTTGGCAGTATTTACGGAATGGATGCACGTACTGTGGTCTAGCAACTCCACTTATTGGTAGAAACCCTCCAAAAGTACCTTCACGTGTGCACTAAGACATGTACGAGAATGTTCCCAGCAGCATTACTTAACAGAGCAACCCGAATAGAAACAAGTCAAGGTACCATCAACGTGCCTAAATAAGCTGTAGTGTATTTATGCAATGCAGTAGTGTAGGTCGACGGTAATGAAGGCATCTGAGCTGCGAGAGACAACATGGAAGATCCTTCTGGGCAAAATATTGAGTGAATAAACCCAGACCCAACAGAACGCATAATGTGCTGTTCCACCGATACAAAGTCCAAACCATACAAATTAATCCGTGTTGTTAGAAGTTAAGATTCTGGTTACCCTGGGGGTGTGCACCGGCAAGGGGCATGGGAGGCCTCTGAGGTTCTGGTAAATGACCTAGTTCTCGAGCTGAGCAATGGTTACTGAGGTGTGTTTGTTTTGAGCATTTATCAAACTGCCTTTTTTTTATTACATTTCTTTAATGTTTATTTTTGAGAGAGAGCGAGCACAGGGGGAGGGGCAGAGAGAGAGGGAGACACAGAATCCGAAACAGGCTCCAGGCTCTGAGCTGTCAGCGCAGACCCCAATGCAGGGCTCGAACCCACAAACCGCGAGATCATGACCTGAGCCGAAGTCGGATGCTTAACCGACTGAGCCACCCAGGCGCCCCCCAAACTGTGCATTTTTACATGTAACACTTCTGTTTAACAGATGACTTGGGTGACAGGAAGCCTGGGTTCTGGTCCTAGTTCCTACTACCTGTGAGTATGTCCAGCAAATAACCTCAGTCTGGATCCACTTTCCTTAAAATCGATGGCTTGGAGCAGATCGTGGTTTGCAAATCTATCAGAGCTGCAGAACCTGGAATCTAAACATAGGAAGCAGATCACACGGGTTGGGATGAGGTCGGGAATGAAGGCAGCCCAGGAGCTGTGGCTGCCGCCTGGCTAGGGCTCCAGGAGGCAGGCGGGAGCGCCCGGACCGCATGCTCTCGAGGGGCTGTGTTTCCTGCACTTGGGAGGCGACTCGGGGGCTCTGGTACTCAGCCTACACGGAGGTACTTCAACCCTCCGTTGTTCTGTGATGGCTCCCCTTGTGACCGATTTCCTAGCTCTTCAGTAAACTCTGACAGGGTTGATGGACTCGTTTGGTTTTCCTCCCAGAGGATGGAGAAATTCAGAAGTTACTTGGCGACTGAAATGCAGCCATTCACATCTTAGTATGAATTTCCCTGATCAGATGTTTTTTCCCCTCCTACACATAATAGAGTTCAATAAGTTGGAATTCATGGAAGTTTCTGATGCAGGAACAGAGTGTGATTGGTGAGAGGGAGACTGGGTAGTGCATGCATGTGTCAGGAACAAGAGGGGGGGAGGAGGAAGGAGAAGTAACTGTGCAGGAGTGCGGCGTGCGAGGGGGCAGCTTTGAATCCTGATGCCACTTCCGGGACAAGCAGGGGCTCCTGAATCACAGGTGCGGCCCCTTCCCCACCTTCCCCCCGGGCCAGCTCTCCACACCAGCACCCTGTACCTCCCTCGAGGGTGCAGCGGAATTGGCAGGGCAGGAGGCTTCTGTCCAGTAAGCTGGAAATGGCAGGGCAGAAGCCCCCTGCTCGGCACCCCCAGGCCTTAGTCCTCTGCTTGGCCTCCGCCGGAGCAGGCTGGGAATAGGGAGCCTTGACCGTGCAGCCAGCGGAGGAGGGAGAGGGAGGGGAGACCCCTGGACTGTGCTCAGATGTGGGTGAGGTTCGACGTCCGGTCTGGGTCCAGGGCCAGGAGGGCAGAGGGCTGGGTCTCTGCCAGACAGTGCAATACCTCACCGGTGCCCCTGGGGCCCTGCTTGCTGCACAGCGGGGTCAGCCAGAGTGGTTGTCTGTCCCCATGAACCCGTCCCGTTCACCTGAGGCCTAGGAAGTGGAGCCGGCTGAGTGCGGATGTGTGCCCACACGGGCACACACACCCCTTCCCATCCCAGTGGACTCAGCCCTTTCCGGCCACACCTGCCGCGCCCACCGGGGACTTCCAGTGTTCTCTCTGTCTGTTGGGTGAAGTCCTGGGTGGGATAAGTGACCTCTCAGGGGACTTTTTTATCCCCGTGATAGCAGGCGGGAAGGAATTTTCTCTGGAAACTACCTAGTAGTTTAGAATCCTAAGAGTTTATCCAGCCTTCTTTGAGAAGGCCAACCCCGTTCTCCATGCTCAGAAACAACACAAACAAAAAGGTTTCAAGGTAGCTAAATGGCTTGTCCTAAGCCACGGAAAAATCAGCGGCAGACGGAGCAGGAGCATCAACTCCAAAGGGTTCGCTTGTTCTAGACCCTCGAGTTTTTGCTCCGAAATCTCTCCGGGATACCTCCAGACCCCACTATGCTTTTGTTCGGGAAGTTCTTCCCATGCATCTGTCCCTCAACAAGGTAGCAGGTATTTGCGGTCGGGTGTTCTGTGCGGCTTCCCTATTCCTGCACTGCCAGCCTGAAGCTCAGCGCGTGGCTGGGGCCGTGGCTAGGTGTGGTGACAAGGGGAATGGGAATCGTTGGCTAGCCTCAGGACTCACTCGAGAAGCTTTTATCAAATTGCAAAGCCCGAAACCCACCCACCAGTTCTGATCTAATAGGTCTAGCGTGGGTTTACAGACTAGGTATTTATTTATTAGTATTTTTTTGAGGGGGGGAGGGGCAGAGAAAGGGAGGATCCCAAGCAGGCTTCCCGTCGGCAGCTCAGAACCCGATGTGGGACTCCACCCCACGAACCGTGAGATCGTGACCTGAGCCGAAGCCGAGAGTCGGTCGCTTAACCGACTGAGCCACCCAGGCGCCTCACAGACTCGGTATTTTTAAAAATTTCCGTGGAGGATTCTTACACAGCACAGATGTGGAAAGCCAGCAATCTATATTGTGGTTCAGACTAAACGATCGGCTTTGCGTTGTTCACTCTCCCAGCCCCCCCAGGTTACCCAGCATAGCAGCCTGGCATCTCAGGTTCCTGAAACCCGAGATAGACAAGCTGATGTCAAGAGCCAGGAGGCCAAGTCTGGCTTTCCTGTGGACTCTAGTGGAAGGAATACTTCGGTGACCAGAGGGCCCCAGAGGGCTTCCCTGTGAAGCGTCACACTTCCTGTGTGCCTGTAAGGCCTTCCAGCTCCTTCCGTACTTCCTCATTTGATGTTCTCATTGCTTTGGGGAGGATTGCAGAAAGAGCCCGCTGGTGTCGTCCTTAATCCATTTACGAAGCATCCCAGGATGGGCTCAACTCATCCACTTTACACGGATTCCACAGCGTCCAGAGCTGATGTCTCTGACCTTGGCTCCATTTCCGGGGGTGCAGTCACTGTCGGGAGCCTCTGGCCCCTCTTTCCTGCATAAGACACGGGTGACAC